CCTAATGCAATACGTCATTTGATTTCTTGACTGCTGCTTCCATGAGTGTTGACCGTTGATCCAAGAAAAATGAAGTCTTTGACAACTTCAGTCTTTTCTCCATTTATCATGATGTTGTTTATTGGTCCAGTGGTGAGGATTTAAGTTGCACTAATTGATATTTGAATAGTAAACCAACATTGCATTAATGGGTTAAACCTCACAGTTTTTGCATATTAATCTTTTAAAAACCCTTGTTGTTCAGTACGGTAATATTTTACAGGATTTTTCCATATATGTTCATGAAGGATACTGGTATCTAGTTTTTCTGTTTATTAAATGTCTTTGCCTCCTTTTGATACTCAAGTAATGCTTGCCTCATAAGATAGTGAGAAGTACTATGCCATCTTTTAGTTTCGTAAAGAAGTTGTTTAATATTGGCATTATTTCTGTAGGATAAGCATTGGACTGCAAGGTTGGTTTGAAACACAAGGATGGCAGTTCAAACTCACCAGACATTCTTTCTCAGAAACCCTATACAGGGTCATTATAAGTTGGAAATGACTTGATGGAACTTAACAACACAGCATTCCTTAGATATTTTATAGAATTCACCAGTAAAGTCATCTAGGTCTGAATTTTGTTTTTAATTTTTATGAGAAAATTTTTAGTTATAAGTTTATTTTCTTTAACAGATATAGGACTATCCAGACTTTTGGTTTCTTTTTGAGTCCATTTCATTAATTTGTGATTTTTAAATAACTTGTTCATTTCCTCTAAGTTGTCCAATTTGCTGGCACAAAATTATTAAAATAATAGCCCCATAGATACTGTTTCCTGGCTTTCATCATTCTTGTTGAGAAAACAGCTGTATTTATGGGGTTTTTGTTTTTTTAAGGTAAGTAAATATTTTTTCAGGTTGCTTAAAAATTTTTCTCTTTTTTGACTTTTCATCAGTTATACTACAAAATGTCCATTTTTTGTTATTGTTGTTTTTGAATGTATTCTATTTGGGACTTGTGGCGCTTTCTCTGTGGGTTTGTGTCTTGCCAGTTTTAGAAGATTTTCAGGCTTGGAGCAAAGAGGGAAAGCCAGGCCCAGCTGACTTTCCACAGCCCCCACTGACTGCCCCTCTGCAGGTGAGCTCTAGTGGAGACTTGCGTCTGTTCCATGTAAGTCTGTGTTGGTGAACCTTTAAAAGACCAGTGTTCATGATTAATTACACAAATAGACATCTTTAATGAAAAAGAAGTGTGCTTCCTTTGGCTGTGGTATCCTCACCTGTGCCAGCGGCCTCCAGGTAAACACCTGGGACTGTAGAGGTCGGGTCTGTGCCCACTACCGCAGGGGAGTCTCTGTAGGAGGTGCCAGGAGGCTGCGGCATTAGCTTGTCTGGGGTGATTTGGGGATTCGTACCTTGAGGAAGCAGTGCCATGTCTGTAGAGGCAGGAAGGGCTGGCTGTCTGCTCCCGGATGAGGTTTGGATGGTGATTATGTTTTGTCCAGATCTGATGAGAGTGTGATCTTGTCTGATGGGGATGCTATAAGATGGTGTTTACATAGTAAACAGAATACCAAAGCCTATCTATGAGCACAGCCTGACCCTGGTGCTTCGAGGTCTATTTATCTGTGAAAGCTGCCAGGCCTATCTCTGAGCACACTCAGCTCCGGCTGCTCTGGCTGTGTTCTCTTATCTCTGAAAACCCGAGCTGGTTGACCGCACAGTAGCTCTGGTTTCACTCCACTTTGTAACTCCATGGGACGGCCTTCTACAGATGCCACGACCCAGCAGGTCCTGAAGGGTTTGGGCCCCATGACTATAGCCTCAGCTCACTCATTGGGAGCTGCCCACAAGACAGTTTAGCCAAGAGTTTGTGCCTTCTTGGACTTGGACCTAACCACATCAGTGCTCCACTGTTGCCCTTTCAATGTGACATCCCAATGGGCCAGGACCGGAGATGCACGGAGGGGTTCCTTGAGCTCCCTGGGCTGCACAGGAAGGGCACCTACTACAAGGGACCTGGTTGGAAGGGGTGGGTGCTCCGTGCGGGAGGGAGGCATATGAATAGGCAGTGAACTCCGGTTGATGGTGCCGCAGGGAAGACTGGAGTTGCGGACAGAGCTACAGGGCTGGCATCCACTTGTGGCCCAGGCTGGGCAGGTCAGGTTGGTGCCAAGGCCAAGGACACAGGCATACGGCAGAGCCCATGTGCCAGGTTGAGGGTATGAACTTCTATCAGACAGGCCCAGGTGGGCACAGACCCGCATGTAGGAAAGGCTGGGTGGGGACAGAGGGAAGTAGCGGTGTGGAGAGGTGACAAGATGCCTGTGTTGGGCAGAGGGGCCCGTACATTGTGTGTGTCTGTGTGTGTGGGGAGGGGTTGACAGGGCTTTGTCACCCTAGAAGAGGACAGCCTGTTTCCGGTATGGGTGTGGGGCCATGGTTCACTGAGGTATAGTTGAGGTGGGGGTGGAGGAAGCAGCCAGGCAGTCTGCAGTGTTGTCTTCGTGTAGGGTCCTCTGTGGGGGTGTGAACCAGGCACACAGGTCAAGGGGACAGGCCAGCGCCTTAGGAGAAACCCTTGGAGGAAGACCACAGTGAGGTGTCCAGGGCTGGGGTGGGGGCCATGGTTCACTGAGGTATAGTTGAGGTGGGGGTGGAGGAAGCAGCCAGGCAGTCTGCAGTGTTGTCTTCGTGTAGGGTCCTCTGTGGGGGTGTGAACCAGGCACACAGGTCAAGGGGACAGGCCAGCGCCTTAGGAGAAACCCTTGGAGGAAGACCACAGTGAGGTGTCCAGGGCTAAGGCTGTCCCTGCCCCAGAGCCCAGGGAGAGTGTAAGGAGGTGGGTCATGGACGCCTTGGAACAGTGGGTCTTCAGGGGGGGCTGGGCTCAGGAGGTGCATAGACCCCTCAATCAACAATGACCAAGCATGGGTTGAAGGCTAGGGAGGAAATGTCGCAGCCACTAGGCTAAATGGCCTAAAAACGGACCTGGTGAGGCCCTCAGGGATGCAGGAGTGGGCTGGGCCCTGACTAGACACGCCCCCACCTAGCTCTCCAATTGGGGTACCAGCCCGCAGGTTTCTTGTGGAGAGCAGAGGGGTGAGGCTTGTCAGGCATCTAGGTTACCCACTCGGATGGGCTCCACAGTGGCGGGGAGTCTGGGGTTCCTGTGGAGCAGGACAGGCTGACTCACAGCCCCTCCACATAAGAGGTGGTGCAGGACACGGCCAGGCAGGGTGTGTGGGCACAGATGATAATGTGGGCCTCAGGGAGATTGGGGGCCAGGAAGTGGGGAGATGGGTGTGCTTCAAGGACTTGTTGCTTGCTGTCTTCTCCAACCTCTCAGGTCCTCTCTGCTTCCCTCACCACCCGGGGTTGGGGGAGTCCCATGCCCCCAGGAAGCAGCAGCCAGAGGCCAGGTAAGAAGAGCGAGGAAGAACTCAAAGGGCAGAGACTCTCCAGCTTATTGGGATTTTAATGACGCAAAACAGAGGAAGGGCGTCCTCTCCCCCAACATCCCCACCCCTCTGTCCTCAGGGATGCCAAGGGCAGCATCAGGGTTGGGGAGGGAGACTAGGCCAGGCTAGGGAGCTGGGACAGGAGGGGAGACGTGCACCCTCTTTTCTTGGCTCAATCCCTCTCCCCTGGGGCCTGGGCGGGGCTGGCAGGCAGGGCTCATGCAACAGTGAGGGGTGGGAGGTGGCACCAACACCCCGCCCGAAACCCCAGGCAGGGGTGGGAGGGCTACAGGCCATGCGTGGCCACACGGGTCCACACGACGTGTCTGCGGTGTACATACAGGTCAGAGAGGGTGTCCTCCACCCAGACCATGTGATGCCCATGGCCAGGAGCAGAGGAGGGAGGTATGGGTAGCACTGCCATGCCAGGGGCAGGGTCCTGGCCAGCCCCGACGGCACGGCCTACTCCTTGGCGCGGCCAATGATGGCGAGGATATACAGGAAGATGTTGATGATGTCTGTGTACAGGTTCAGGGCAGCGAACACATACTCCTCGGGGCTCAGCGACAGCTGCTTGTTTCCCAGCAGCAACTGGGTGTCCACTGCCAGGAACTGGGACGACAGCATAGCCACCTTGAGAGGGTGCTCGGGCCCCCAAGTCCCCCTTGTCCCCTGCCTAGCTGCCCGCCCTTCCTACTCACGCAGGTGAAGAGCAGGGCACCCAGTGAGGCATACACGATCTCCAGGATGCGGTTCCGGATGAAGATGCAGAGGATGGCAAACACAAGCAACACCACTACACTCACCAGGAGCACCCCCATACACGAGGTGAAGTCATAGCGGGTCTGTGAGGACACAAGAGGGACATGGGCCTGAGTGCTGGCCACTGTCAGGGAAGGGAAGGTGGGGGGCAGGAGGCTCACCTGCATTGAGAAGATGACAACCGTGAAGCAGACGATGGTAGTGATGCCTACGGCCATTATGACAGCCTCAGTGTCGTAGAAACTGGCGATCATGCCCACCATGTAGGACAGGCTGACAGTCAGGATCGACTGGGGAGACAGGGAGGACCAGCATCTGCTGTGGGTGTGCAGAGCCACCCCTCGTACTCCAGGGAGGAGGACCCTATGGTTGGAGGGCTGGGTCTGGGGGCCGAGGGCCCAGGGTTACCAGTGCCACAAGGTTCCAGGGATGCTTTCTCCGGAATTCCCCGCAGCAACTGAGGACGATGAGGGAGACGAAGAAGACCGCGTAGGAGACATAATAGGTCCAGACATTCGCCAGAACAAACTCCTTCACGCCCCGGACGAACGTGAACACAGCCACAGACGACAAGGTCACTGACAACTGCAGGGTTAGGACCAGGAACACCTGCGAGGGGAGATGGTCAGCACAGGCAGCGCCCACCAGTACCCAACCAGCCCAGCAGCACCCAGGCCCCCACCCACCTTGCGGATGAAGGCCTGCCGGATGCTCTTGTCGTCCCAGTTGGTAGCAGGGAAGTCCTGGTTGTCATAGTAAGATGGGGGTCTTTCTTCGTGATAGTTCCCCCGAATAGGAGCTGAGGGCAGATGCAGGGTCAGCAACCATAGGCTTCGCCCAGACGCCCTGCCCCACCCCCAGGCCCTACTCACAGTCTGGGTCCTGCACATCGAAGGCCTGCGGTTGTCCATAGGGGTTGGGGGGGAAGGGACTCTGGGGATAGGGCCCTTGTGGGTAACCTCCCTGGGGGTAGGGCCCTTGTGGGTAACCTCCCTGGGGGTAGGGACCCTGGGGGTAGGGAGAGGGGCCCTGGGGATATCCGGGCTGACCATAGGGTGCAGGCTGGAAAGAGGGCTGAGGGTAAGGAACCCCAGGGTAGGGAGGCTGCCCATAGGGAGGCACTGGAGGCTGGGGTCCCCCAGGATAGCCAGGGTTGGAGGGAGGATAGTTGTCTCCAGACACCAAGAAACTCTTTTCGTGGGACATGGCCTCAGCTTCTGTGGCCCCCCCTAGAAGAGAGAGAGCGCGCGTCACTGTGCGGTGTTGCTGGGCTAGCTGTAGGAACAAGCTAAAGGGGAAGGAAGGGCAGCGGCTGACCTTTGCCCCTGGCTGTAGGACATCTACAAAAAAAGGGCTGGGAGATGTGGAAGGGTCACGGTAGGGCCCTGCTGGGCCTTCAGAACGGGCTCTCCAGGCCCACTCAAGGGTGGCCGAGGGGCAGTGACTCCACCTTGTAGTTTTGGACATAGAGCTGAAAACGCCTTTTGGGCGCTGCCGAGGTCCCCTCCCCCTGCCCCCGGTGCAGTCCTGCCTTAGCATCCCCGCTGTCAGAGGCTTTAAGAGCTGGCTGGGGCTGTTTCTCTTTCAGGAAATTCCCACATCATCTGTAAGGAAGGGGCCTGACCCCCTCAAAGGACAGGCCCTCGCAGGCCTGTGTCAGCTGCGGTGCCAGCCGCAGGGTGCGCAAGAACAGGGGGTGCGGGGGTGTTTGGGGGATGGAAGAGACCCGAGGGTGTGTGAGAACAAAGCCAGCTGGGGGCGGCCGGGCGGGGGCCCAAGTTCCCGGCCCACTGCTTCGGCCGCCCCCTCTCCCGGCTTCGGCCGTCGTGCCCCCCCGCCCCCGCGGCAGGCCCCAAGTCGGCCGAGTCCCCATGCGACCGTCCGGCCGCCGGCCGCGCTCGGCCCGAGCGGGGGTGATAGGCCCGGGGCTCGGGCGGGCAGACACGAGCGTGGGGTGCGGGCCGATGCTTACCGCTCGCTGGGCGCTGCTGGCCGGTGCGCTCGGCGTCCGCTGGGCGGCCGGGCGGTAGAAGAGCCGCTCCGCCTGCACCGCTCGGCGGCCAGCTCGGCTGGGCCTGCGCCTGCTGCTGGGAAACGCAGGGGCTTTGTGACGAGGCGGGGCCAGGCGGGGCTTGTGACGGAGCGGGGCCGGGCTTTGCGATGGGACAGGCCCAGGCTTGTGACGGGGTGAGGCTTGGCCCCGCGTAGGAGGGATTTATGATGGGCGGGGCTAGGGTTAAAGACCTGTCGATCAGAGTTTATGGCTGGACCGACTTCCCTGTAGGCGGGGCTAAGGCAGCGGACCAGGGCCAGGCCGTGGCTGTATGGGCGGGGCTAGAACTGGCGGGGAGAGGGGGCTTTTCCCAAGGACACACCCTCATTTCCTCCCGACCTTGACCTGGCCAGTTTGGTTGAAGGTGCCAATGATGTTTGTCTGTCCCATCCTGTTCACGGTGCTCAAGTCTTTCCCAAACCCGAGGCCCTAGTGGTTTGATTGCCTCACTCTAACACTTATTGTCACCGATTGTCTGTCAGTTTGTCGTACTGTGGTGGTTTGTATGTTACTGTGATGCTTGGAGCTAAGTCACCGGTATTTTAAATACCTCAGGGTCACTCTTCTAGACGGAGGCGGACTAGGAAGAAGGACAGAGTGACCATTTATGAATGGTTAGCCACAGAAAACCTTCCGAATAGCAGATAAAAACAGACATATAGTGCTGGGTCGTGAGTTCCTCAGCTTGGAAGACACTCAGAACACCACCTGGGAAAGAGTTGACCTTAAGCTTACAGGGCCTTCAAATGCTGATGTGCCACAATTCAAACTGAGAAGAAAGCTGCAAGCTTCCATTAATAATCAGTATGGGGAATGTACAGAGTATGAATCTAAAAAAATTGGAAGTGGTAAAAAATGAAATAGAACACATTAAGATCAATGTCCTATGCATTAGTGAGCTGAAATGGACTGGTATTGGCCAGTATCAGACAATCATGGTTTACTATGCCAGAAATGACAAACTCACATCTCTGTCAAAAATACCATTTCAAGATCTACCTTGATATAACCATGGCAACGAAACGGTATATGATGCGATGAATGTAAAGCTAATGTCCTCCCATGTAAACTATCACATAATTCACAATAAAACATTAAAAAAAAAAACAAGGCCAGGGGCCAACAGTGGAATAGACCATCAATTGTGCTCATATGTAAGTTCAGGCTGAAATTGAAGAATATCAAAACAACTCCGTGAAAAGCAAAATATGGCCTTGAGTAAATTCCACATGAATTTAGAGACTATTTGAAGAGCAGGTTTGATCCTTAGTCACTAATGACCTGAGACAAGAAAAGTTATGGGATGACATCAAGCACATTATACAAGAATAAAGAAAAAGATCATTTAAAAGACAGTATAAAAAAAAAGATAAAAATGGATGTCAGAAGAAACTCAGCAACTTGCTCTTCAGCTGAAGCTAAGGAATACATTATGGATAAGAGCTGAACAGAAATTTTGAAAGGGCTGCTCAAGAAAAGAGAAGCAAATATTATCATGTAATGTGCAAAGACCTATAGAAAAGAAAATGCTCATTTCTTAAGCTGAAAGAACTGAAGAAAAAAATTCAAGTCTCGAGTTGCAATATTGAAAGATTCCATGGGAAAAATATTGAATGATGCTGATAAAATCAAAAAAGAGATGGAATACAGAGTCACTGTACCAAGAGGAAATGGGCAGTATTCAATCATTTCAAGAGGTAGGATATGATTAAGAACCAATAGTATTGAAGGAAGAAGTCCAAGCATCACAAAGGCATTGGCAAAAAGCAAGGTTCCAGAAATTACCCTGGAGATGCTCACTGGTCTCTGCCAATAAATTTGAAAGATAGTTACTTGGCCAACTGATTGGAAGAGATCCCCATTTGTGCCCATTCCAAAAAAAGGTGACCCAACAGAATGAGGACCTCATCAAACAATATCATTAGTAATACATGCAAGTAAAATTTTGCTAAAGATAATGTTTAAATGATTACACTTGTTGTTGTTGTTGTTGTTGTTAGGTGCCATCGAGTCAGTACCGACCTATAGTGACCTTATGCACAGCAGAACGAAACACTGCCTGATCCTGAGCCAACCTCACTACTGTTGCCACGCTTAAGTCCATTGATGCTGCCACGTGGCCAATCCATCTCGTTGGGGGTCTTCCTCTTTTTCTCTGACCCTCCGCCTTACCAAACATGATCTCCTTCTCCAGCGACTGTTCCCTCCTGACAATATGTCCAAAGTATGAGAGACGAAGTTTGGCCATCTTGGCCTCTAAGGAGCATTCTGGCTGCACTTCTTCCAACACAGATCTGTTGGTTCTTTTGGCAGTCCATGGCACTTTCAGTATTCTCCTCCAACACCATAACTCAAAAGCATCAATTCTTCCACGGTCTTCCTTATTCACTGTTCAGCTTCCGCATGCCTTCAGTATGGATTGCACTTCAATATAAAGAAATTAAAATCCTCACAATTGGACAAATGACATGATAAATGGAGAAAGATTGAAGTTGTGAAAGAGCCTCAAAATACACAAATCAAACTAATAAAATTGAAGGAAGAAATAGACAAATAGATACTTTCAATAAAGGACAGAACAACTAGAAAGAAACTGAACAGACGCAGAGTAACTAGACGATACAATCAACCAACTTGACTGCATAGATTTTTATAGCGAGCACTCAACCCAACAACAGCTCAAAACACTGTCCCCGCCCGCACACTGCTCATGGAACATAGACCATATTTCAGACCACAAAGCAAGCCTCAATACGTTTCAAATCATCAAAATTCTACAAAGCATCTTTTCAGATCACAATGCTCTAAAATTAGAAATCAGCAATAGGAAGAGCATGGAAACAAAATCAAATCCATGGGGATTGAATGACACCTCTTTAAAAGCTACTGTGTAATAGAGCAAACAAGAAATGAAATAAAAATTCCTGGAGTCAAATGGAAAAACACAACATACCAAAATCTTTGGAACACAACAAAAGCAGTGCTTAAATGGCAATTTATAACAATAAACACATCTAAAAAGAATAAAAAGAATCCAAATCAACATGTTAGCATGACATCTCCAACAATTAGGAAAACAGCAGTAAAGTAAGCCTGTTGCCACCAGAAGAAAATAAATAATAAAGATCAGAGAAGAAAGAAATGAAACAGAAAACAGAAAAACAATAGAATCAACAAGACAAGAAGTGGGATCTTTGAAAGGATTAATGAAATGGACAAACCATTGGCAAATCTAAAATAAAAGGAGAAGATACATATAACAGAAATAAGAAATTACATGAGTGATGCCACAGCAGAATCAGCAGAAATAACAGAATACTATGAAAAATTGTACTCCAACAAATCTGAAAATCTAGAAGAAATGAACAAATTTTTAGAAAAACACTACCTACCTAAACTAACACAGATATAGAATATCTGAACAGACTTATAACCAAAGAAGAAATTTATCAGGTCTTTTAAATAGTCCCAACAAAACCAAAGTCCAGGCACATATGTTTAATGTTGAATTCTACCAAACATTCAGAAAAAAGCTAACACCAATTCTACTCAAACTATTCCAAAACTTAGAGAAGGATGGAAATAACCGAATACATTTTATGAAGTGAGCATAACCTTGATACCAAAACCAGGCAAAGACATAAATAAAAAAAAAAATTATAGACCAGTATTCCTCATGAACATAAATGCAAAAATTCTCAACAAAATCCTAGTTAATAGAATTCAGCAACATATCAAAAACCAACAATACATCATGACCAAGTGGGATTCATGCCAGGTGCAAGAATGGTTCAATATTAGAAAAATAAATCAACATAATCCACCACATGAATAAAACAAAGGAAAAGAACCACATGATTGTATTGACTGATGCAGAAAAGGCATTTGACAAAATCCAACATCCAGTCACTGGAGAAGGATATCATATTTGGTAAGGTGGAGGGTCAGAGAAAAAGAGGAAGACCCCCAATGAGACAGATTGGCTGAGTGGCAGCATCGGTGGACTCAAGTGTGGCAACAGTAGTGAGGTTGGCCCAGGATCGGGCAGTGTTCTGTTCTGCTGTGCATAAGGTCACTATGGGTCGGTACCAACTTGATGGCACCTAGTAACAACAACAACTCCTGATTAGAAGAAAAACACACACACACACAA